AGGCAAATTGATGGATTCCAACTCGGCCGAGGCCACTAGTTCGAGAGGGTTGGAGGAAGAATTAGGGATTAGGTTGAAGAACATCGCCCTTTCCCAGCCAAAGGACTGGGTAATTGAGTTAGAGGTAGAGGATATTCGCTCGAGTGAAGAAGAATGCAACCGCAAATTATTGGGGAAAATTGTAGGCGATCGGAAAGCAAGCTTCATTAATATAAAAAGAACTATGGGGGCCAATTTGGAAGATTCAAAATCCAATAGAGGTTCGTGAACTTCGAGTGAACTTCTTCCATTTTATATTTGGGAGTAAGGAGGATAGAGAGAAAGTTGCCTCAGGAGTTAACTGGATTTCTGAAAATCAATACTTAGCTCTCCATGGTTGGGAGGAATGATGAATGAAAAGCATCCATCTTTTAATAAAATCAACCTTTGGGTCTAGGTAAATAAGGTTCCTCTCAATTGGTTAAGTGCGGAGGTGGGATTAATAATTTGCAAAATAGTTAAGAAGGTTAAAAATGTGACGGTGATGAAATCCGGTGTTTAAGAGGTAGCTACATCAGTCTTCTGGTTTCGATGGACTTGACAGAACCATTACCGAGGTGTTTCAGTATTAAACTTTAGGAATAACAGATTGTGGTCAGCTTCCACGACAACAAATTGGTGAATTTGTGTTACTAGTGTGGGAAGGTGGGACACCTAGACAGATTCTGTGGGAAGAGGGTTGAATGCATTGCAAATAAGGCTATTAATGAGGGTCAATATGAAAAGTGGACGAAAGCATCTAAAGGTAATCTAGAACAATCCTAGAACAACAATCCTCCAATTCTTTGAAACGAGGTAATCTAGTCCAGCTGCTAACTTGTGTTATTTGTGGTGGAGATGTGGAGAGGGAAAAGAAGGATGACCAAAAAGTACTTATGGAGGTTGAAGTGGTAGAAGAGTGGGAATAGAGAGCTTAGTCTAAACAAAGAAAAGATAAAAATCAGACAATAAAACTAATAAATAAAGCAAAGACCTGGAAAAGGACCCCTAATCAGGAAGGCATATTGTAGAGGAATCAAGAAGGATTAAGAGTGTTGCAGTGTTTCACTGATTTAAAGAAGAGCAGACATTCAATTGAACTTCAAGAGAGGTGAAGGTTCTAGAGATGTAGGCAGAAGAGATTTGAAAAAATAGAAACCTTCTGACAAAGAGATGGTGGTAGTTAGGATAATAAATCCTATGGAACTGTAGAGGTTTGAGTGGGCCCTATATAGTTTCTCAACTCAAGGAATCTATTAAGTTCCACCACCAAAAATCTTATCAACCTTCATTTCTTTAATGGCAACTGACCTAGCACTACTAATAGGTACACCTCACTTATTGGCTTAACTTCGTCTCCATCAAATTCGTAGAGATCTGTGTCGCGGTTCCAAACCTCTTCAAATGGTGCTTCGACGATTGGACGATAGCTTGCCGGCTAGCTCCCTTGATCTATGTATCCATGAATGGCTCAACTTTTGTCTTCAAGTCCATCTGTTTTAAGCAATGTAGAAAAATGATAATGACTGAGCTTTATGTGTCCACCATGAGTTTTTGTAGTACATAACTTTCGATCTCTGAGGTGATGATCAGGGCATCAATGTGTGGTGCTAAAACAACCCAAACGCCTTTGGGCCCAAAGCTTAAAGTGGCTTCAGGGTGCTTGTCCTGGATCCCTGCGACCTCCCATCATGATCTGATATGAGTGTCTTGTTTCGAGGAATCCTCTGTTATTACTTGAATCTCCTTTCCCTTTGATACTTCTATTGATACCTCAGATGCTCTTTCTGCCATGGTTTCTCGATTCTCTTGAAAACTACCTTCCAAATTTTATGATTGTGAGATTTGGTAGAAGACTGATTCTTTCTCACAGACGGCGCCAATTCGTTGCATCACTTTTTATCACGAACTGGATTGAACTGCCTATGTCGTGAACCTCTTTGTTCTTTGAGCTCGGGTGACCTACAATACGCCGAGAGGGGGTCCCGCAGGAAAACCTCCGACGCTTAAGTCAGAACTTGTTTAACGATAATATTTAAAAAATATACGATTTAAGGCGTAATATTGTGATATCTTAGTGAACTAGAACCTGACACCCTTATTAAGAACAATTGTCTTGGTGCCTAAGAGAGTCCTTGTTAGGAATGAGATCCCTCCAAATCATGCTTCCTAACTTACCACGTCCTATCTAGGTAAGTTTCCTAAGCAAGTGATAATTTCCTTCTTATTAAGATTCTTTCCTTCTTATTATCCGGCATTTAGGTCCCTATAACTACAACCTCTTGACCTGCTTATTGTTACCTCAGCCCAGGTCGAGCCTGACGTCCCCCTGAGGTTGAACCTGACCTCAAGTCTTACGACCTCAATGACTTGAGGTCGACTTTCTTGAGGTCGAGAACTCCCGTTCATCTTCTTCAAGTTGGCAATACCCTGAGCTCGAATAAAAGCTCCTTAACTAGATTGCTTACTTCAAGACTGATTGGAGCTCTCTTAGACCGGTCTATCCAAGATAATTGCTCAAGTCGGGTTGTCGAGCTATTTCCAGTGCTATATCAAGGGGTTGCACCTGGCACAAAAAGATACTCAACGGGTGTCAAAGTCGCCAACTTCGGAGTTGCCAATATCTGCACCCCCCTAGGCGTCGATCTATCACCTCTAGCGGCCGCTTTCAACTGGGCAGCCCTTTTCGCACAAATCATCGTCTTATATCCTTCAGATGAAGAGGAAGCACAAAAATTAGACCAAGGGTAGTAAACTGAATACGACAAATAAAGAATAAAAAAATGTTGTTCATGTAAAGACAGATTGGCAACATCAAAACTACAAAATCATAAAAAAGTAATCACTGAAAAGCGCCAACCCACGCCAACTGAAGGCAAGCTTATTCAAGGCTTCGATTCATTTTTAGGAGCTTGCAACTACTTATATCATCCTTCAGCTCCAGTAACTTCCTTAGTCTATCCACAAACTTAACGGTCACTGGGGGATGGAGAGGGACCGACCTTGCTGCAAGACCGGCGGTCGATTAGTGAAAAACATTTCGTGTAATATAGGTTTGTTCGTAATTGTATTGCCTATGCTTTAAGCGACTCGTTAATTTATCGTTTATATTTATTCTCTTGCTACGAAAAATTATTGAAGATGAATCTCTGAACGAGTAAGTATTTCGAATCCTTTAACCGAACGATCGTTTGCCCGTTAATTGTGTTTCGAAACCAAAACGATTATCTCCGACTCCATAGCTTCTTTATCATTATTTGATTCTTGTTTTGAGTTGATAATTGAATTTACATTGTTTGAGAGTTCTTAGTTAATAATTAAAACCAAACCATATTCATTAGAGTGTTTAGAATTTTTTTATTCATTTTTGTGATTGAATACACGTGCATTATAATCCGACTAACTTTCCTCGAGAGATCGATCCGGGGAACGAATTCTTCGATTGTCTCTTCCTTACGCTGGAAGTTCTTCTCCAACCATCACCGCCTCGTCGTCGAGTTTCTCTAGCCTTCCAGTGTTTGTGTCTTGTTCTTCTAACTAGATTCAGCTTCAGCTGGTTAATTGTCTTATTCAACTGATTAGTTGTTGTAGCTATGAGTTGTTATTTAT